CTGTCTGACTAGCAGCTATGATACAGTGTCTTCTTTAAAATAGTTTTATTCTATATATTGCAATATTGGTATTTTTCCTACCCTTTCTATTGTCACTTTCTTTTTATACTTATACTACCAATTCCACTATTTTTGTTCAATAATTATCTTTTATTATTTACTGTCAACCTGTTTTTCAGGTATGATGCCTTTGCTGCTTTTCGCCTTTGGTCGCTTCTTCATCGATGTAGACCATGTTGTTATACCCTATGGCAACATCTCATTGCAATTGGCGATATTAATGCTTTCCGCAGTGGCCGGTATCGGCTTGGCCAGTCGGTGGCCGGATATTGCGCGACGGCGCATCCGGCCCTTCCTCACGCCGTGTATTCTCATTATGCTCGTTTTTGTCATCGGCGTCGGCACCTGGTTGCACTATCGTGTATACCGACTTATGGTCGTATATCCGGTACTCTGTGGTGTTGGCGCATGTCTGCCCTGGACAGGCTTCATCGTCTCTATGCTTGCTGCCTGGTGTCTACTGCGCGGACCTCGTTCAGTAATCCTCACCATAGGCCTAGAAACTGGCATCCAGAATTATGGCATTGCATTACTTGTACTACATTATTCAATGCCACAACCAGCCGGCGACCTGGGCTCCGTAATGCCTTGGATCGTAGCCTTTTTCACTCCTATTCCACTCTATCTGGCCTTTATGGCTCGTGTTTCTTGGCGTCTACATCAACGCTTTATCGCGCATCGACATGGATCGGCAGGATGTCAGTCAGTAGTCGGCCCAGCAGTCATCTCTGATGCTGAATATGGGCTAAATACTGAAAAACCTAAAGACCTAGTGCCGTGGCCTGTGTGGGATAATCGAATTGTGCAGAATAGTTAACCTGTTTCGATTTTCATTAGAAGTATAAAGTATCCACTTGTTGAATGTAGATATATTTATAAATTAGTTATATACTTAAAAGAATAAGAATGTTACATTATTTTTTATTTCATTGTACTGCACTTCTGCCCTTTGGATCATGGACAACTATTTAAGCCTGTGAAATCCCCTAATTTAATTTTCTATTTTCTGAGTTCCTTTTATACCAAACTATAAAGCCGTTAGAAAAAATGGCAAGTGATATATATATTCTTGCACATTTAACAGCTGTTTTGGGCAAATCCTTTCTTAATTTGTCTTCATTGCGCCCTATCACTCCATTTGGACCACCCACTTCCCAAATCTTTCACATACCAAATCTAGTTTACTAGCCTCTCTTTGTTTTGCTTCAAGGCTGATCTACTATCATAATAATGTACAAATATAGTAATTTACGTAGTTATATATATATATATATGACATATGCGTTGTACATGTTCGCGTACTTTATATAATAAATTTTATTCAATTCGTATTCTGCTTTTTAGTATTTCTCTTTCCCAACCCTGCGATCCACTCAACTAAACTCCAAATTGATAGCTTACTTTAATTTATGAATTTTTAAGCTCTTTGTTTCTCTCGATTATACTCGACCTACATTATGTTATAGAATATTCTTCACATTCGCATGCTTTAAGACTATTATTCACCTTACCTTGAGATATCTTGTTGCTATTAGCTATTAAACCATTATACATGTATGATCGTTTCCAAAATTTTTCAATCCTTAGTTTAATTTGTGATGCATACTAGAGATGTCCCTAAGCGATCTTGCATATCAAAATTGTATCGTTTAAGGTTTCGCAATCTTTATTTGGAATCTTTATCTTGCCGCATAGGTTGGCACTGAGTTACTGATATTAGCTTCACCGGAAACCGAACAAGGATTTTTGCGTAGGAAAGACTATTGAATTGTACGAAGAAGTTCTAGGCTCGCTGTACGGGTTCGCAGGACAGTTAGTCGATGATTTCGCACAATTCAATAGTCTTCCTCCTTCGAAGATATACAGACCAAGCTGTTGTGGCCTCTGGTATGGTCGCAGTCTCCTTTCGATTTATAGAACAAGACCAAGCTGCAACAACGAGGTCAATCCTCTTTCGGTTTCCGGTGAGACCACGTCACGAATTCCTTCCAACCAACCTTCCCTTTAAAATGGACAGTCACGCCATAATATTTCATCAAGGAATCCTTCGAAACCCATTTCTTCATGCATACGTGTTACCAGTACTGATCTCTGGAAGCCCTGACCTCGTATAATTTATTTAAAGTTTTCTTTCAAGCATTAAAAATTTACACAGTGAACGCAGAGGCGAGACGCGATCCCTATGAGTTCTTATCAGGCCTTACTAACCATTCCTTATGTATTCATAATATCCTTGTTTTCAGTTCCAGAATTTGTAAGGGCTTTACTTGTATCCGTTTTAACGACGCTCCCAACCTCTTCTGGATCAGTCAACGGTTATAGTGAGCCGACCTCATGCCATTTAATAAACATTCTTTACCTCTGTCTGCTTGTGCAGCCTTGCTGACAGAAAGACGTGGTCTTGGAGATCCTGGGTCATAGTTGACCTCCACCTTTCTGCTATCTCTGAATCAACATGGATCTGCTCTATCACTCTGACATTGAGTTGGTGCAAGTGGTCGACGAAAGAGCCGGTTGCACATGCAGTGGTGGCGACTGTAATCCAGCCAGCTGCGAATGTCTCCTCTACCGCCAACCTAACTATCGGCCTGATGGTCGCCTCTTAGAGTTTTGTCAGGCGAGTCTTGCATGATCATTAACGAATGAGATGGCATTTCCTCGGTTAAGAAGACAACAAATGAGTTGTCGGATGTCTAGACTCTGACTGATGGGACCGCATCATAGTTCAGTGGAGTAGGGTTGTTCTTCTGGCCATTTTGCTACTGCGCTTTGGTTCGCCTCCTTTGAGTTGTCACATGTTTTTTGGCGCTAACTCTGGTTCTTTCTATCATAAATCCAAGCCCGACTTCTCTTATTTTCTCACCAGCTTAGTGCTGAAAAGAGTATTTGTTTTAGTAAACCTATGTGCATCTATGAGTCTTGAAATTTCATTTGATCATATTGCGTCCACCGATAACTCAAGTTTTATTTCCCATTTATTTATTATTTATAAATGGCACTGTAGTGATTGGTTTGCTACGTGGTTTATTTAGAGACTAGGCATTATTCCACTTATGCTTTTATTTTCTTGGTACTTTACTCAGATGGCTTATGATGTCGTCAGCATTTTAGTTAGTGGCATATAAAGCCTTAACGGTAAAACCTGTTTAAAGATTAAATATTATGCAATGTGTTGTCAGTTGTCTCGAGAAATAATATATTTTTCACACTAGGAGAAACTTCTAGGTTCTATACGCTTAAGCAAGACATATGAACTTTGTATGTCTGGATAATATCAATAGTTTTTGTTGGGGGAGACTTTCATTTCTTATGAAAGTGCATGAAGGGGACATTTGTAGCTTGATTTCACTATAAGACG